TCCATTGCTGATTTCCAAGGAAAACCCATCTGGTTCCCTAACTCTAATGCCCTTTAGGGAAGGAAACTGCCATCCTTTCCTGGTCTGGCCTATATCTGACACCAGCAATGTGGTTGACGCCTAACTGCCCTCTAGGCAATTAGGGATGGGCAGTAAATATTGCCTGCAGTGATGCCCTCATCCTGTGAATGAATAAAGGAAAGAAAAACAAATTGAATGCTCCATCAGGACTCCTCTGTAAACGACAGAGGTCGCTATTCAAATGTATTTAAAAAGTGATATTTGGGAATGGGGCAATAAGAAAACTAGAATTTATTTATTCATTCATGGGATTTAGGCATCATAGGACATTGGATATTATTTCTACAGAGCATTTTTTGGCAGTCACATGTCTTGGGATAATTGCTGGCTTACTGAAGACGACTTGCCTGGGGTTATAAGTGTCAGGTTCCAGTTTCTGCTTTGGATGTTGTCTGGTGGATGTTGGTGACCAGCCTGCCAAAGGGAAAAAGCATCCCAGTTTACGTCTTGTGCTACTAGAAAAAATTCCAATTGTGAATCCAGTGTGAAACCCGATGATGCTCTTAAAAAGCAACCCCAAGAATGCTCAATACTATGATTCCTAGAGGAGCTGCATTTACTGATTTGCAAATTGTAGGAACAACTGTCTATGTTTGGTGGGGAATATTTCCACATTTGAACATTCCACACCTTATTCTTTCTGCTGTCAAGAATTAACCATCGTTGGTCAAAAGTATTTGATTTTTCCAAAGTGAATCTCTGCAGAGCAAAAGCCATTGGGTTTTCCTTTTTCTGCATGAATGACGTGTGTGTGTGTGTGTGTGTGTGTGTGAGTGTGTGTGAGAGTGTGTGTGTGTGAGTGTGTGTGAGAGTGTGTGTGTGTGCGTGTGAGAGAGACAGAGTGTGTGTGTTTGTGTGTGTGTGTGTGTGTGCATGGTGTGTGTGTATATGGTGTGTGTGTGTGTGTGTGTGTGTGTGTGTGTGAGTGTGTGTGAGAGTGTGTGTGAGTGTGAGAGAGAGAGAGTGTGTGTGTGTGTGTGTGTGCATGGTGTGTGTGTATATGGTGTGTGTGTGTGTGTGTGTATATGGTGTGTGTCTGGCTTGAGTGTGTATGTGTGTGAGTGTGTATGTGTGTGAGTGTGAGTGAGAGAGTGTGAGTGTGTGAGTGTGTGAGTGTGAGAGTGTGAGAGTGTGAGTGTGAGTGTGAGTGTGTGAGTGTGACTGTATGGTGTGAGTGTGTGTGTGTATGTGGGTGTGTGTGTCTGTGAGTGTGTATGTGTGTGTGTGTGTGTCTCTGAGAGTGAGTTTTTTAGGGGATTCAGAATGGTACATATTTGTACTTTCATATTTCCAACTGTGTGTCAATTAGGTTTATATTTTTGCCATATGAGTCTCATTTTCAAAATAAAGCAAACAGAAGTGTTAAGGCACAGAAGGAGGCTATTTGGCCCATTGTGGCAGTACCTGCTTTTTCATAGTGCCTCAATACCTACTGTCAATCTCCTGCTTTTCCCCCATGCCAAGCCTATTGTCTTTATCATAGAATCCCCACGGTGTGGAAGCAGGCCATTCAGCCCATCAAGGCCACACCACACCTCTGAAGAGCATTCCACCCAGACCTAACCCTGTACGCTGTCTCTGCATTTCCCATGGCTAATCCACCTAGCTTGCACACTACGGGGCAATTTAGCATGGCCAATCCACCTACCCTGCACATCTTTGGACTGTGAGAGGAAACCGGAGCACCCAGAGGAAACCCACGCAGACACGGGGAGAATGTGCAAACTCCACACAGACAGTCGCCCGAGGTTGGAATCAAACCCAGGTCCATGGTGCTGTGAGGCAGCAGTGCTAACCACTGAGCCACTGTGCCGCACTATGATAATTGTTATTCAAATTATCATCCATTGCCCTCTTGAATGCCTCAAATGAGCAATCATTTTGCTCTTTATTGAAGAAACTTGGTTGCAGAGTCCTTTTATTTTAAATGTAATATAGATAAAATCTATAAATTGGTAACTGGATTGAACATTTAGATTTATACCACTGTTAGTGGAGGAGGGGATTAAAGAGAGATACAGGACAGTCCTCCAGCCTCAATCATAACAAATGCATCTCACTTATTTTTCCATAACCATTACCATTCTCTGGGTAAAGAGACTAAATCCCATATCAAAAGCGATAGTGACTATCTTTGATTTAGTTCTGGCTGGTTTGCTATTGTGTGGATCAGAGTAACATCAGCAGATCCTTGTTTTGACTGAGCTAGACTAGAGACCTGCCTTGTTGCCTTATACACAGTTAAAAACAAAAGTCAGTTATGATCTGATGAATAACTGGCGACTTCAGGCACAGAACATGACAGAGATTTGGTCTCCCCACCAAGTGGAAAAATATTTTCTCTGTCTGCCTTGTCAAATGTGTCAGAATGTGGAAGGCCCTTATTTAGCTCATTCCTCCTAGAAAGGAAGCCCAGGACATTTCTTAGAATCCCTACAGTGTGGAAACAGGCTCTTCGGCCCAACAAGTCCACACCAACCCTCAGAGAATCCCACCCAGACCCATCCCCCATAACCCATGTAATCTACACATCCCTGAACATTATAAGCAATTTAGCAGGCTAATCCACCCAGCCTGCACATCTTTGGACTGTGGGAGGAAACCGGAGCACCCAGAGGAAACCCACACAGACACAGGGAGAACGCGCAAACTTTGCTGCATTTTTTCGTAATTCGTTCTCAGGATGTAAGTGCTGTTGGCTAGGCCAGCATTTATTGTCCAACTAGGAATGAACTAGAACAAGGGGGTCAGAGTTTAAAAACAAGGGGGTGTCCATTTAAGAAAGAGGAAAAACATTTTCTTTCAGAGTATTGTGAGAATTTGGAATTTCCTTCCTCAAAAGGGAGTGGATATCGAGTCTTTTAAATATTTTTAAGGAGAGGTAGATAGATACGTGATTACTGAAGAGCTGGAGGATTATTAGGGGTATGCAGGAATTTAGAGTTGAGGTTAAAATCAGATCAGCCATGGTCTCAATGAATGAGGGAGCAGGCCCAAAGGGCTGAGTTCCTTGTTCATATGTTCGTATCCCTGATTGCCTAGATTGCGGTTAAGTGTCGACCATAGTGCTGTAGGTCTGAAGTCTCATGATGTTTTGACGAGGTAAGGATGGTGGATTTCCTTCCAAAAATGACATTCGTGAACCAGATGGGTATTTACGACAATCGACATGGTCATCATTAGGCTAGCTTCTTGTTTCAGCTTTTTATTGAATACAAATTTGACCATCTGCCATAGTGGGATTTATCCCCAAAGTATTAGTGTAGGGTTCTGAATTACACATGCAGTGGCACTGGCACTATATTACCACTTTTCCATAAATGTCCTCATTAATCTGCAGTTCTACTTCTACCAATTTGTGTATAAATAATAATTTAGTAGCACGGAACATTGGTATTGCTGAAGAAAGAGTACTTTGTTGATGCTTTTCATCTTGCATTCAGGACAATTTACAAGAATATAATTTCAGGGGAAAACAAACATTTTGAACTGTATGAACGAAGACAGCTGATTGGTTGGCAAGCGGATACTGATTGGTAGAACATTGCCATGGAGAACGTAGTATAACTGTCCATTATCAAGCTTTGTTTAAATTTTAGACCAGAGCCCTGAGAAATGAACCAATGAATGGCTGTCACCCACGAGGTTAAGTTGAAACATGCTCAGTGCATGTCCATGTTATTTCTGCCTGTAATTACCAGGTCCTGTGTGTTAATATACATAGATTCCATCACCAGTGCCAGGCTTAACTCTGAGAATTAGGCTGACAATCAATTTAGGATTGTTAGTTGGACTTGCAACGAGGAGCACTTGAGTGCACAGGAGGGCCCTGTTCTGTGCAGACTGAAGGAACATATGTTTATTTCAACTTAACAAAATAGGTGACAGTATTTGTTACATTTGAACCTACAACCCTAAGTTGCTAAGTTCTACTAATCCATTTAGACTTATTTTCTAAACAGTTGTGTGTGTGCATGGATTACTCCTTTATCTTCTGTGATGCAAGCTGGAAGAGTAACACTTTATATTCTGCTTGGGGACATTACAGCCTTCAGGGCTAATGTTGAGTTTAATAATTTTCGACCCTGAAAACCTCCTTCCATTTCCTTTACCCACCCCCATACCCCAGGTCCTGTTATGACATGGGCAGCTTCTAGCACAGCCAACCCATTTTCTCCCACTCACTGCCCTCGTCATTGAAACACAGAATCCGTACGGTGTGGAAGTAGGCCATTCAGCCCATCCAGTCCACATTGACCCTCTGAAGAGCATCCCACCCAAACCCACTCCCCTACCCTACCCTATCCTATCCCTGTAACCCTGCATACTATCCCTGGATACAATGGGCAATCTAGCATGGCCAATCCACCTAAACTGCACATCTCTGGGCTACGGGAGGGAACCAGAGCACCCGGAGGAAACCCATGCATATGCACAGAGTCTGTGTAAGCTCCACATAGACAGTCACACAAGGTTGGAATCAAATCCGGGTCTCTGGTGTTGTGAGGCACCAGTGCTAGCCACTGAGCCACTGTGCCACCCCTAATCCTATCCAGCTTCTTTTCTTCCCTTGGTTTACTATGTCAATCCCTTTGTCTGCCTCAATATTTTTTTCTCTCACTGTCTGGGCTCCCTCCCCATTTATCAGCTCTCTCTTTTTATCTCCCAGCCACCACAGTCATCAGCATAAATACCACCTTTCCCTGGCTGCTATCAGCTCTGTGGGAGAGTCACTGGACTGGAATCTTTAGCTCAGTTTTCTCTCCGCAGATGCTGCCCACACCTCCTGAGCTTCTCCAACAATTTCTCCTTCAGTGCGTACACTTGCACTGCCCAGTTTAAGACCAGAATGGTGGCACATTTGATCCAACCTTCCCACATGTCCAAACACACCTCCAAAGGTATTGGGGCAATGTTTCTTACCTTTCAATAAATGCCAGAGCTTCCTCGACCATTCTGGTAGGCAGGGTTTCTCCGTTTGATGGCTGCTGAACAACATCATGGTTCCTCATGATCAGGCAGTTCCAGAGCCTCACAAAACCAAAAACACAGTACCAGGCCCCAAAGAACAGGGAGCATAAAACTGTGAGCCACACAATTATCCCCCAGCCAATACTGGTAAAGCCAGTCCATTTCAAAACAAACAGGATCAACAGTCCCACTATCAGGGTGTCATTGATCAGACGTAGTCTACCTTGGAAGTTAGTTAAAATGGCACTTCCTTCCCCTGGCTTGCAATCATGGAAGTTTGTGAAAGGTATTCCGTAAAAGAAATCAAACCCATGGTTGAGTGGATGATGACAATGATCATTGCGGGATTCACAATTTACTCCAAGATGCCATTTTCCTGTAAAAAGACCGCACGGACAATTCAGTTAATTGTTTAAGGCAATCCATTTGAGTGATACCCTCTATGCACTTCGAACTCTTAGGTGTCACAGCGGGGAATAGAAAAGTTGAGGGTTGGGACGCTGTTTCAACTGCACGCTAAGTATATGTTCTTAAAACGAATGTATCGGGCTGGATTTTCCCGACGGAGGTGGGGTCGAACCCATACTGCGATGCTGCCTCCTTCTCCAGCCTGCTGGGGAGCAGAATGTTCTTGGGGTCAAGGCCACATTTGGCCTAGAGGCAGGTTCGCTGCACTCCTCTTCAGACTTGCACTGGGGACTGAAGGCCATAGAGGGGCAGGTTTAATGGTCCGCCTCCATTCCAGCTTCCAAAAGACTGAATCACAGAGATATTACAGCCATTCAGCCCATCATGCCCAGCTACATCGACCAGGTTCTTCTGATGGAACCACAGGTGAATGGTGAACAGTCTGCAGAAGGCCTCAAAAATGTACTTCATTATATTTAGAAGTGTTTTAACATTCGAATGTATCTAACAACTCAACTCCCTGCAAATGTCCAAAACCCCTCACCCACTCTGCACATGCTCCTTACTCTCCACCCCACCCTTTACCACTGCTCTCCTCAGCACGCCTGACGCTATTCATCCCAACAACATGTTCAATAATGTCAAGAGAAAATTTGGAATATACGTTGCTAAATGGGTGATTGAACCTTCCGTTCACAGCATTAGCATGGCTCAGCTCAACAGGCACATGCTACAGCACCGATAAATGCTGATGAGCTGTGTAAGGAGGCAAAAACCATTTTAGCTACCTTTTACAATGCTTCGCAAATCTGTCTCATGGTTCTTCACGCCTCCACTTGAAGCTGGCATAAAACCCTGAGAGATGCCGAACCCTCCCGTAGATGGACGCTTACTCAGCCCGCGGCAATGTAAGTGGGTTTATTGAGGAGGAATTTCTTCACCAAAAGGGTTGTGAATCTGTGGCGTTCCCTGCCCGGTGAAGCAGTTGAGGCTACTTGGTGAATGTTTTTAAGGCAAAGATAAGTAGATTTTTGAACAGTGAAGTAATTAAGGGTTATGATGACTGGTGGGCAATTGAAGCTGAGTCCATGAGAAGATCAGCCATGATCTTATTGAATGGAGGAGCAGGTTCGATGGACCAGATGACCTACTCCTGCTCCTGGTTCTTATGTTCTTAATAACAGGGGTGGACTGTTTGAAGTTCCCCTTCTTCACCCATCCTTAGGGCAATGGCACACGACAGAAATGGAGGCAGGGTTTCTGGATGCACCGCTCAGTGTTCATATGTTTGCCGTGTTCCCTTCATTCTCATCTAGAAATGGCCAGAACAATTTCAGTCCTCCTGCCTGGTGACTGAAGCCATTATGATTATATTTATTACCTCTTCTGCAGGCGTGCCAATTCAGATCTTTTCTCACACACTCCCCAACAGCAAAACTTGACAGCACAATACCCATGCTTTGGTATATCTAAATCATCAGGTCAGACTATTCTGAAAAAAATCAACTTTCAATTAAATATGTGGGGACCTATGCTGGTCAGCCACATCACCAGACAGGTGTTGAGGTAAAACTGGAAACCATTTCCTATCAAAAGCTAACAACTAGAAGACCTTGGGTAGTAAATACATTTTGCACGAAACAAACCTTTTTCCCAGCCCTCACTGTTATTTAGCTGTAAAATATCTGAAGGCACATCAGGCAGTTGAAAAATGTAAAGACTAAACCCAATTTAGCAAGGCAATTTTACCTTCACTGTGTGTGCGTGTTGTGGTAAAGTAGCCACAGGAAATTCCCTTTCATTTGAAACTTATTGCATTTTATTTCATAGTCTGCCACCTCAGAATATTTCAGGTTATTTTGTAAAGACAAAACTAGATAAAATTCCATTTGGCCATACCTATAATGCCAGTGGCATATCCTTGTTTTTGCAATAGTGCTGCAAATGTAGTCTCATTCTTAGGAAGACCCCCAGAGCTGCCAGTGAACAAAAGTACGCGCACTCTGTGACCATTGTCCATACCTTAAATCAAAATTCAGAGAAACAAACTTCGTGATACCTTCTCGTATTATTTTCTTGTAGTGGGAATTAAACAAAATTTTGTTCAAAAGGCAACATTGAAGTAAGGTGAGATAGCAAGAACTGCAGATGCTGGAGTCAGAGATAACACAGTGTGGAGCTGGAGGAACACAGCAGGCCGGGCAGTATCAGAGGAACAGGAAAGCTGACGTTTCGGGTCGTCGACATTCCTGTTCCTCTGATGCTACCTGGCCTGCGGGAGTAAGGTGACTATTTACGAGCTAGTACTGTAAAGCGCATGTTAGCAGGTATGAACCTTGAACATTCTTCGGGTCCACTTCAGCAGAAATGACTGAAGAGGAACCTGTATCAGCCTTGACAGCAGATTAGAGAGTATAAACAGAATTCTATAGACAGGATAAGAGAAAGGCCAAAGAATGAAATATTTCTGAGATAACAAGGTGCAGGGCTGGATGAACACAGCAGGCCAAGCAGCATCATAGGAGCAGGAAGGCTGACATTTTGGGCCTAGAACCTTCATCAGAGAGAAAAAAAAAAATTTTCTGATGAAGGGTCTAGGCTCCTCTGATGCTGCTTGGCCTGCTGTGTTCATCCAGCCCTGCACCTTGTTGTCTCGGATTCTCCAGCATCTGCAGTTCCTACTATCAATGAAATATTTCTGTTGACCGAACAAGAATGAAACATAAACAATGTACGCATACGTGAACACATTCCTTTTTTTAAATGTACGGGACAGAAATTGGACAGTGTGAGACAAAGCCAGACAGAGGATTCAACAGAATTCTCCTCAGCCAGTCCAACTCTCTCACTGAGGTTGGTTTAATAAACACAAAGTTAACATGGATACCTGAATCCTCATGTGGTCTGTGTGGGAGATCAACCAAAACATCCTTGAGGTTGTGGACTTGCTCACCAAGCTGCTGGGCTTGGTTGCAAAAGTTTCATACGCCCTGCTAGGTAACATGGTCAGTGCACCTCTGGTGAAGCATCAGTGTTCTGTCCCGTTTGTTATTTATTTGCCTCGGCTTTTTAAGGTGGTTGGTATTACACCCGGTTCTGTTTCTCAATGGGTTGTACACAGCATCTAATTCAATGTGTTTGTTGATGGACTTCCAGTTAGAATACCAGGCCTTCAGGAATTCCCTGGTGTGTCTCTGTTTGGCTTGTGTGATTATGGATGTGTTGTCCCAGTCAAATTCGTCTCCCTCTTTGTCCGTGCGTAGTGAGACAAGTTAGAATTGGTCATGTCTCTTGGTGGCTAGTAGGTGTTCATGAATCCGTATTGTCAGTTTTCTTCTGGTTTGGCCTATGTAGTGTTTCTCACAGTCCTTGCATGGTATTCCTGGAGGTCTGGTATTCCGAACAGAACTCCATCAACAAACACATTGAATTCGGTCCTATGTAAAATCCACTGAGAAACAGAACTGGAAGTAATGCCAACCACCCCAGCAAACTGAAGGATGTAAATAACAAGTGAGCACCAATGCTTCACTGGAGACGCACTGATGATGTTACCCAGCAGGGCAACAAAACGTTTGCAACCAAACCCATTGGCTCGGCGAGCATATCTACAACCTCATCCGCAACCCAAGCTACAAATTTTCTCAAAAACTTCCAAACATTCTTGATTAAAGGTTGGGCTGGGAGCTCTGGTGGCCTCAATAGCAAAGTCATTGACAGGTGTACTATTAAACTACAAAGACAAGATGAGTGCTAAACGTCCTATGGTATTATTCAAAGAAGTGCAGTCAGAGTTCTCCTGGTGTCTTGGCCAACATGTATTTTTCGAGCACTGTATTATTGTGTAAATCAGAAAGGTTTTTTTATAGAAATAATCAGATTTAACACAATGGTTCACGCAGCAAAATTATAATTTGTCTGACAGGATTAAATTCTATTAACAAATGAACACAAAATTTGACACAATTAGATTGATCAGACTTTAGGTCTTTTCTCTCTAAATGAAAGGACTGAAGTATGACCTATTAGAGACCTTTAAATTATGAGAGCAGCCAATACAATGGATGTAGGCTATAGCCTAGTGGCATTATCACTAGACTATTAATCCAAAGATCCAAGTAATGTTCTGGGGACCTTGGTTCAAATCCTGCCACATCAGATGGCAGAATTTGAATTCAATTGAAACAATCTGGAATTAAGAGTCAAATGGTGACCATGATTCCATTGCTGATTGTTGGGAAAAAACCCATCTGGTTCACTGACGCCCTTTAGGGAAGGAAAACGCCATCCTTACCTGGTCTGGCCTACATATGACTCCAGTCCCACAGTTGTGTGGTTGACTCTTTACTGCCTTCTGACAATTAGGGATGGGCAATAAATGCTGGTCCATGACACCCTCATAATTAAATGTAAAGAATGAATTAAATGTAAAGAAAATGTTTCCCCTTGTGGGACAACCCCAAGACAGGGGCTATAAATATAAGATAGACACTTCTTTAAGGGGACACTATGGCTTAGTGGTGCTGATGCTGTACTGTTAATCTGGAGACCCAGGTAATGTTCTGGGGACCCTGGTCCAAATTCTGCCATAATGACCATAAATCCATTGTCGATTGGCAGAAAACCTCATCTGGTTCATTAATTAGGGAAGGAAACTGTCATCCCTACCTTGGTCTGGCCTACATGTGACTCCAGACCCACAACAATGTGGTTGACTCTTAACTGCTCTTTGGGCAATTAGGGATGGGCAATAAATGCTCCCTAGCCAGTGACACCCTCATCTCGTGAGAGAATGAAAAAAACTAAGATATATAATAAGGAGTTGAAGAGAAGCTTCATTGTTTTGATAGGGATTAAATTGTGCAACTCCCTACCATATGAAGTGTGTAGATTAATTCAAGAGAAGGCTTAAAAAATATTTGAAGGATGAAGAAACAGAAGAAGATCCTGATAAGAGAAGTTTAAGTGTGGCAGCAGTGTCACTTGGAGCATAAATTTTAGAATCGATCAAACGGACTGATTCAAAATTCACTGCAATTCTCTCAAGCAGATTGTTATAGGGAACAGCTGCTAAGTTACTTCAAAATAGCAATTATCAGATTCAAAATAAATAGACCCAGTTGATTGAGGTTCCAAAGATATCGCCTTCTCCTTGATTTTAATAAACACGGTCTCACAGGGGCTGTAAGAAGAGTAATCATTAGAAGTCACTAAGACCTTGAGGCATATAAGGGTTGAACACAAGGCTGGTGCAAACTATTAACAGTTATTGACTACAAACTACATACATAAGCAGAGTAGATCTTTGATAAGGTTTTGTCCCATCAGTGCTCATTTCCTTGTGAACTAATATCATCACGATAGGGTTCCTTACAAAAATGCTCAGTAACTTTTATTGAAATATTAGTTGTCTAACCCAGTTGGCTGGATGGCTGGTTTGCGATGTAGAGGAACACCAATGGTGTAGGTTCAATTCCTGCACAAGCTGAGGTTACCATGAAGGTCCACCTTCACAGCCTCACCCCTCACCTGAGGCATGGTGACCCTCAGGTTAAAATCATCATCAGTTGTCTCTCTCTAATGAGACTATAGTTACTTTCCCTTACCTAGTTAACTCTTCACTCTACAGTAGAATGGCATAAAATTTAAGAACACAGAGTAATGGAGTCATACAGCATAGAAACAGACCCTTCTGTCCAGCTCATCCACATCAACCAGCCATCCCAATCTGATCTAGTCCCATTTGCCAGTATTTAGCCCATATCCCACTAAAGCCTTCCTATTCATATACCCATCCAGATGCCTTTTAAATGTTGTAATTGTACCCACCTCCACTACTTCCTCTGGCAGCTCATTCCATACATGTACCACCCTCTGCGTAAAAAGTTTCCCCTCAGGTCCTTTATAAATTTTTCCCTCTCACCTTAAAACCTATGATCTCTAGTTTTGGTCTCCCCTGTCCTAGGAAAAAGACCTTGGCTATCCATGCCCTTCATGATTTTATAAACATCTATACGGTCACCCCTCAACCTCTGACGCTCCAAAGATCAAAGCCCCAACCTTTTCAGCCTCTCCCTCAATATCAAACCTTCCAGTCTTAGTAACATCCTTGTAAATATTTTCTGCACCCTCTCAAGTTTAACAACATCTTTCGTTCAGGAGGATGACCAGAATTGTATGCAGTATTCTAAAAGAAGCCTCATCAATGTCCTGTACAGCCCCAACGTGGCCTCCCAACTCCTATACACAATGCAGTGATCAATGAAGTCTACCTGCGACTCCACTTTTGAGGAACTATGCACCTGCAACCCTAGGTCTCTTTGTTCAGCAACCCTCCCCATGCCCTACCATTAAGTGTACAAGTCCTGCCCTGGTTTGCCTTATCAAAATCCAACACCTCACATTTAGCTAAATTAATCTCCATCTACCACTCATCAGCCCATTGGCCCATCTGATCAAGGTCCCGTTGTACTCTGAGATAATCTTCTTCCCTGTCCATTACGCCACCTATTTTGGTGTCATCTGTAAACCTATTAACAATATCCTACATTTATGTTATTGTTTGAGATCTCACTAGATCTTAATGATAATAACTTCCAAATTTGTCATAGTCAACATTTTTTTTCTTTCCTATTGTGCTATAAACGTCTTCTTTGGCTAAAAGTGCATTGGCAACCTCATTGAATATGTTCGATGGTTTCACCCTGGATTCTGACTTGTCCAGAATTAAGTAAAGGTAAAGTCACCATAGTCCCAGGCTGCTTGCTCATTGGAGAGAGGCAACTGGTGGTGAGTTTAATCTGAGGGTCACCACACCTCAGGGCAAGGTTATGGAGGCAGTAACCAGTCAGTGCAAGAAATGAAATCTCTTTGCATTGAGAACCAGATGTCCAGCCAACTGAGCTAACCAAACCCGGAATGACCATCAGCTGGAATAATCATACTGATGTCAGTGCTGCCTTACCTGAGCGAATAGGGTACCTGCCCGTCATAAAGGCTGCCCTACTGGGTGTACACAGTGGAGCTGCAGCTATGTGATGGGTCAGCATCACACCATCCTTTGCCAGATTATCAATATTGGGAGTTCTGTTGAAAAGAAAATTTATAATAGTGACGCAGTCATTCCTGACCTGGCACTTACCAAACGTGCCACTTTGTTTTCTGCTTAAAGATCAATAATTATGATTTTTTTTTAAAAAGTTGTTTCTCTGGGTCCACCCTCAAAGCCTCCTTCCTACCAAAGCGAAAGGGCTGAAAGTCAAACTTAAGGACTCAGAGGAAAGGGCAACGTTGAATTGACGGTGATGATCCAATGAAATTTGCCTCATTGTTGAACGCAGCTCCAGTTTTATATAAAAAAAAACAAAAAAAAAACAGAAGGGTTGACATTTCCTCCTGCCTAAGGTGTGGAGTTTGCACATTCTCCCCGTGTCTGCATGGGTTCCCTCCAGGTGCTCCGGTTTACCCCCCAGTCCAAAGATGTGCAGGTTAGGTGGATTGGCCGTGTGAAATTACCCATAGAGTCCAGGGATGTGCAGGCTGGGTAGATTAACCATGGGAAATGTTAGATTATGGGAATAGGGTGGGGGTGTTTGGTCTGGGTGGGACGCTCTTTGGAGGGTCAGTGCAGACTCAATGGGCCCCTTTCTGCACTGTAAGGATTCTATGATTCTAATAATTGAAGCTTGAAGCTTTGGATCTGTCCTTTACTCTTTTTACTCTACAAATTTACTCTTGATCCCCTGGACTTGTGAACAAACCTGGCCTTTTCATTGTAGAGGACCCAGCTGCTCCTCGCCATCATCTTTGTGAATGAACCTGTTGCCCTTTTCCTTGGGAGCAGTAACCCTGGTCTATAGCACAGGTTGAGAGTGTGAAATATGTCCTATATGCATCAGTAAGCAGAGCTGAATGGAAAACAAACTGTTTAGCCTGACAGATTCTAACAGCAAATTAATGCTGTACAAATTTTGGCAACGTTTTGAGAGTACCCTTCTTGTTCATTAAAGTTAAGGCCTTCACTGACTGGTATTCTACCAAAGCAAACATACCCAATCCCCAAACCTGAATAAAATAATAAGAATACCTCATAGTATTATTTCCGTAGCAGCCAATGTCCCCAATGCCAAGGTCATCAGCCATAATTAATACAATGTTAGGCTGGAGGTTTGTCTCTGTACATGTTACATAAGTTAGCAGTGTAGAGCTGTAGAACAATATTGTAACCACTACAGTCCTGCACCAAAAGAAGAGGGAAAAAAAAAGCAAGTGAAATAAACAAAGCACACAAAGGGCAGTCAGGCATTTCACCAAAAGCAAAGCCTGCCTTAAAAAGCATCAATTTCAGCAGTAACATATTTCAAGATCCGACAATAAGATCACGTCAGGGCAGATATCCCGATTGCATACTCCCAGCAGTTAGCTTCCACCATCCCGACTGCACACTGGAAAGATCACACAAACGCAGCCTGTGAGTTTCAGCGTGTTTCGAGACTGTGTTGTCAATACTTGCAACCCACTCCCGAACCCGACAGTAAAACCACAGAAATGTCACGGTGCAGGAGGAGGCCATTTGGCCCATCGTGCCAGCACTGACTCATTAAATGAGCATCACGACCTAATGCGATTCTCCTGTCTCTCCCCATAACATTGCACACCATTTCTATCTAAATAATCATCCTACGTCCTCTTTATTGCCTCAATTGAACCTGCTTCCATCAAACTTCCAGGCAGTGCACACCATATCCTAACTATTTTTGCTATGAAAAAGTTTTTTCCCCTTCATCCTTGCTCCTTTTGCACATCACTTTAAATCTGTACTTTCTTGTTCTTGTTCCTTTTACAATTGGGAACAGTTTCACCCAATCTATTCTATACAGCCTTGTCACGATTTTGAAAACCTCTATCACATCTCCTCAAATTCTTCTTCTCTCCAAGGAGGACAATTCCAACGTTTTCAATCTATCTTCATAAGTGAAGTTCCTCCCGCCTGGAACCAATCACTTCTGCACTCTCTTCAATTTACATCCTTTCTATGGAGTGTGTCCACAACTGTACACAATATTCTAGCTGAAGTCCAGCAAATGTCTTATACAAGTTCAATGTTGCCTCCTTGCTCTTGTAATCTATGCCCCTATTAATAAAGACAAGGATACTTTATGCTTTATTTATTACTTTACTGGTCCTGCTATTTTCAATGATTTGTGCACATTTACATCCAGGTCCCTCTGCGCCTGCACCCATTTAGAATTATACCCCTGATATTATATTGTTCTTCAACGTCCTTTCTACTAATGTGCATCACCTCACATTTCTCTGCATTGCAACTCATCTGCTACCCAACTTACCCGCTCCACCATCGGTCTGTGTCCTCTGGAGTTCCAACTGCACCCCTCAGAGTTTACGAGTCTTTGTGTTATCAGCAAACTCTGAAATTATCACCTACACACAGCATTAATATATGTCAGGGAAGGCAAGGGTTCAAAGATTGACCCCTGGGAACTCCATTACAAACCTTCCTTCAGCCCAAAAAATAGCTGTTGACCATTGGTGGCATGGTGGCTCAGTGGTTAGCACTGCTGCCTCACAGCACCAGGGATCTGGGTTTGAATCCAACCTCGGGCAACTGTCTGAGTGGAGGTTGCACGTTCTCCCTGTGTCTGCATGAGTTTCCTCTGGGTGTTCCAGTTTCCTCCCATAGTCTAAAAATGTGTGGGGTAAGTGGATTGGCTATGCTATAGTGCCCAGGGATGTTTGGGTCAGACAAGGGGAATGGGTCTGCGTGGGATGCTTTTCAGAGGGGTGGTGTGGACTTGTTGGGCTGAATGGCCTGTTTCCAATTTGTAGAGATTCTATGATTCATTAGTCTGTGTTTCCAACTCAGCTAATTTTATATCCATAATGCTACTGTCTATTTTGTACCATGACTTATAAATTTCTGCACAGGTCTGCTCTGTGGCACACTATCAAATGCCTTCTGAAAGTCTTTGTGCATCGACCAACAGTGCTAACCCAATTGGGCCTTTCTGCTACCTCTTCAAAAAACTCCAGCAACATGATTTGCCCTTTAGAAGTCTATGCTGACTCTCCCTAATCAACCCATTATATTTTTCCATTTGATACTAATTCTACCCCAAATAATTATCCCTAGAAGCTTTCCCACCATTGAAATTAAATTGACTGGGCTATGCAGAGGCTTTCTCAATTCACACCATTTAGGTAGGAAAGTTGTAGATGTGCAATGCTAATAGTATTGCCAAGGGCATGAAACACCTTCCACAATTTGGAAATGTTGCTCGTGCTATATCCTTCGGGTTACAGTCATTCATACAAAATCCATTTAGCCCTTCTTAAACTTACCTAAGATTTATATACAAGCTCATCCTTTTAATGTCTGTCCCTGGTTGACTAAAGTAGTTTAATTAAATTTTCTGAAAGAGAAACAGATAATGTTAAGCACGCAGAACTCATTGAAATAGGATGGTTACAGCAAACATAATTGGTGCTCACAGACAGTTCTAGCTACATTTATAAGAGTAATATAAGAGTTTATAAGAGTAGCAGGGACCCATTACAGGTCAGTAATCTGAACAAGGGCTTTAAATCTCATGAGGAGAACAGTTATTGTACAACAGAGCCTAAAGTTTGGTTCCAATCATAAAAGTTTGTTCATGGCACTGAATCCAGGAATGAGAAACATCAATTATGTTTTATGAGACTAGATTGAGCAAGTTGAACTGTTCTCTTTGTCGAGAACATAGCAACATAAGAACTTGAGAAGGCCATTCAGCCCCTTGACCCCATTCTGCTATTCAATGGGATCATGGCTGATCTGTGGCTTAACTCTATTTACCTGCCTTTGGCCCACATCCCTTAACACCTTTGCTTAACAAAAATTTAACTCTCTCAGATTTAAAACTGACAACTGATCTAGCATCCACTGCCATTTGTGGAAGAGAGTTCCAAACTTTTATCATCCTTTGTGTGTAGAAGTGTGTACAAGAAGGCGAAAAGGAGATTTGATGGAATATTTTCAAAGTCATGAGTAGGCTGAACAGAACAGGTTCCCGCTCATAAAAGGTACAAGAAAAAGAGGGTGTAGACCTAACGTAATAAGCAAACAAAGCAAGATTGGTGTGAGGAAAATCTGTTTTCACACAGTGAATAGTTAGGATATAGAATGCACTGCCTGGAAATGCGGAGCAAGCAGGTTTAATGGAGAATTTTAAGGGGGCATTGGATGATTATTTGGATAGAAATAATGTGAAAGGGTATGGGGGAAAAGCAAGAGATTGGCACTTGGTAAAGTTTCTTGTCTGAAGAGCCAGTACGAGCAGGATAGGCTGAATTACCACCTACTGTGGTAACATAACAATTCTGTGATTCTTTGAGGATGATGATGACTGAAGTTTCCAGTTTGTTCTTCTCTTTGGGAATTCTCATGCTTTCTGACTCTATCATGGTCTCCATGGTAATACAAGGTTTCAATTTTCCAAACAATGGTGAAGCTGTGTTTACAGTCTACTTCTCGTTTGCTGGTGACAATCAGTTTTACAACAGGGATGATTTCGAACTCAATTAAGCCAAAATTAATGTTTTTTTTTCAGAAGTTCTTTCATAGTTTGAACTCCTCTTTCCGTTTCAGCATTTTGCTGTGGGTAATGAGATGGATTTGAAGTCCACTACAATCCTAGCTCCTTTGTATGAACTTCCGGGATCAGCGTGATTCTCAGGTGATCCATCTCACTTAAGTTTGAGGAAGACAGAACTTACGATTGCACAAATGAGTCTGGAGAACTGATCCAACACTCCCTGAAGCAGAGGGGCTAAATAAGAATATTACATCTACCAGGTAAACTTTTTAACTGTTGTTATAACTGCCCAGATACTATAAGGGCCTCATCATCTCTCCTTAATAATGTTTCGAAGACTGTACAGAGAAGGAAACTTTAAGATCTTAAAGACAGAGTACTATTGTATATACTATATTTGTATATATTCTAAATATTGCGACGATCAGTTGATGTTATTACTGGACAATTCAGATCTCATACTTAAATCCGGCTATGTTCATCATATTTTGTTTTGTTTATGTTTAATGAAGTAGTATCTCACTAAAACACAAATACGCTATGTTACAGATTTTGTTTTAACAATAAACCAGAAGTTTGTTAAGCAAAAGAAATGACAGTTTTAAACACAGAATAACAGTATTAAACCCATTCATTCCAAAGCACTCCTTTATCAATTTCAAAAAAAGGAAACCAAATCTTTGTTACAGTGACCTTTGTACAGTAGTCACACCAGAATCCCTCCCACTAACATGTTGATAGTTTTCAGGTCACTGAGACTTTAACTCCGAGACTCAAGCCTCTAATACCATATTCCTATCATATACCTGAGTTTAAACAAACTCAGCTTCAATTCCTCTTCAGGGTTTTATCACAACACTTCTAGTCTAGGACTACTACTATGCTTTATTCTAAGGTAATCTAGTTATACTATATTCTCCCCTTCTCAGAAACAAAGGACTGCCCAAAATAAAGGAAAACTGAAACAAAAAATTCTTCCTCTGAACTAAGAGCATTTCATTTCAGTTTTTAAAATATTCCAGGTTCAGAAATTTCTAACATAAACTTTAAGGTACATTTGTCTGCTTTGCTGGGTGTAAGATCCTAAAGTAAACAAAAACCCATTAGTTTAACAAAGTAAACCATAAAAACATTTTTTTTAAATCACCACAGCTACAGAAAACAGTTTATTGATAACTTCAGACACACATAAAACCCATGTTACTAACCAATAACTCTAAATCCAAATTTAAAATAAATTATATTAAATTGTATTGTATATATATATATGTAAATATCAATCAAAGTTTATATAACAGTATATAAAATTCTATTAATGAACTGAACATGCAATTTACGTTTGGCGGGAAGTCAATTCCAATATTGATAGCTTTAGGAAGTGAAAGTATAATCTTGCTTGATACCAGGTAACTCATTGGATCATAAGATCTAGGAGCAGAATAAGCCATCCATTAAGACAGCCCAGGGGTTATGAGGAAAAGGCAGGAAAGTGGAATTGAGGATTATTAGATCAGCCATGAACCCAATGAATGGTGGAGAGACTCAAAGGGCTGAATGGCCTCCTCCTGTTCCTATCATATGGTTCCATAGTAACTAAGTCAGATAAAAACCCAGCAATGGAAATGTTTATAACAATAAAGCAAGAATGTAACAGAATTAAGAAATATTACAGAAGTTAAGTCCATAATAAGACCATAATTCTACTACTGGTCAAGAATCTATGTATCTCAGCCTTAAATATACACAAAGACTCTACTCCCACAGCTTTCTGTGACAAGGAGTTCAAAAGATTCAGAACCCTCTGACATAAGAAATTCCTCCTCATCTCAGTTTCTAATTTTTGCCCCTTTATTCCAAGACTGTGCCCTCTAATCTTGGACTCTTCCGTGATGGTAAATATCTTCTCAGCATTTACACTGTCAAACCTCTTAAGAATCCTATATGTTTCAATGATATAACCTCTCGTTCTCCTGAACTCCAGGAGTAGAGACCCCACTTGTTTAGCCTTTGTTCATGAGACAATCACTCCATACCGGGGATCAGCCTAATGAATCTTCTCTGAACTGCCGAAAATGGAATTGCTGTTGGCATCACTCTGCATTGCAACCCAGCCACCCAGCCTACTGTAGCTAAACTGACCCACTCTCCCAACCCCGCCAACTAGAAATGTTGCTTAAATGCTAAGTGTATTAAACAGTGCATAAATACATTTGCAGGTCTATAGTTATTATTCTCTTAAGGATATGATTCATAATGTCACAGCTGTCTTTCTTATTAACATTACATCTACATAATTATTCTTTTAAAATATCCTCACCAACTACCGGAAGAGTTTGGTTAATGAATTGTCTATCAAGAAACCAGGGATTCCCACTTGCTGCCCTAGATACAGCGTCCAAGAGACAGGAAGCAAACCCTCACAGGAACAGGAGGAGGAACAGAAGGAGACACACAAAGCTGAAACATCAGAACTGTTAGACTAACGTTCCTTGTAGCAGAAGAAAAATCAATCTGTAACTCAACTCTCAGCTTACTATCCCATGAGAGTCTTATTTCTTTTTAATCATGGTGACCTTGGCGACAGTACAACGAGAACCCAAGTTTTTACATAGGAACAGTTTATAGGGCAGCTGGATTCATTCAAAATTAAAAGATCAAAAGGAAATGTTAGCATGGGGGAAGGCAGTGGACTGGAAAGTGTCAAGTCAGCTCTTTCAGCCCCAAATAAAAAGATGGAAACTGTTACCTATTTTTGTATAGAATCACAGTTCAATTAAAACAGTTCGCCACAATCAGAAATTTTAAATATATGTGCTGAAATTTGATGTGTATTTCTAGCATGGCTTTAAAAAAACCAATTAAAGAGAATTTGTAATCTTCCTGATCTCATATTTTACAAACAAGTTCACACAAACACATCCACTCACCTGCACATTCACTGGTACACACAAACACATTGTTACACAGACACATGGACACACATAAGCACTCACTCTCATCCACAAATGGGGAGGCAATGGCTGAGTGATAATGTCACCTGACTGTTAACCCAGAGCTCCACACAATGCTTTGGAGACGTGGGTTCAAATCCCACTGCTGCAGATGGTGGTATTTGAATTCAAAAAAATACGTGGGATTAAGAATCTAATGATGACGAAGTATCCAGTGTCGATTCTCAGGTTCATTAATGCCCCTTTCGGGGAGGAAACTGCCAGCCTTACGTGATTTGGATTAAACATGACCCACAGCAATGTGGTTGACTCTTTACTGCCCTCTGGGCAATTAGGGATGGGCAATAAACCCTCATCCCATGAATGAATGGGGGATGGTGGAAACAAGCTCGCTCAATGACGGAAGCTCACAAATCAGCCACATAAAGTTACAAACTCAATCCCAGACACACACCAAATCATTCAGACTGTAACATGAAAAGATCCACTTCCTAAACTTCCCTCGCTCTGTTCGCAATATTTACTGAAGCTTAGTCAGTTCCTGTCTCAGAGAACTGTTACGGTACAGAAGGAGGTCATTCGGCCCATCGTGCGCACCGGTTCTAGTCCCTGTTACCAATCTCGCTGTTTCCTCTTTACCCCTGAATGTTTCTGGTGGCGTTTCCAGAAACAGGGCACATCCACAAGGTCACACTTTAATTACTGCCCCTTTCAGAAATGGCAACATCACAGTGCCCACTGCAAATACACTTTTACACATCCCAGCTATTCTCTTCCGGGGATAACTTTACAGTTTCCAGTCATCATTTCATCTGGCACTCCCCCGCCTTTCCTTGCATGTTTTAAAGCATAAAATATTTTCTTTCATTTTACCTCGGGGATCATTCAAACGGGATCCGGGATCCGGAAATCACTTTGACGCCGACGAACGGGGAAAAAAAACGCAAAGGGGAGGAGAAACTGAAACAACTGAGTCCAATTGGCAGAACTTGGATTATTTGAAGAGTCAGAAGTTAAACCACAGAGGAGACAAGCTGTGAACACGAACCTTTTCAGACCGCTTTTTTAAATACAGCCTGTACACGGTACTTTGGGGCAGGAGGATTTGTATAATTGCCAGTTTACTTAGTGTCTGTCTCCATATCTCTAATTCCAGTGAACGATATCCCGTCTTAATGTCTCCTATCTTTAACACAAGTGGGCAATACCCAGACAGATTGATATCACCTATCTGTAACACAAGTGGGTAATGCCCGGACAGATTGATATCATCTATCTGTAACACAGGTGGGTAATGCCCAGACAGATTGATATCACCTATCTGTAACACAGGTGGG